ATCTTATTGTAACATGTGTTGTAATTTTTTTTAAACAAGGGCAAAACATTTTAAATGAAAAAATCAACAGCTAAATTTAACCTCCTCAAATCAAAAAGGAAGAAACTTATACCTCTAATCATTTTAGCTTTTATACTGGCTAAATAAGGTTGTCTATATTAAATGCTTCTTTTTTATTTTTTTATTTTTAGTTTCACCCCTTTTAAATATATTTAATTTTAATACATTTTTATTATAACTTTTTTGGGGGTAAAAATATAATTTAAAGGTACAATAATTGTGTTTTAAATTTTTTTTTATTTCACTTTTACTGTATTATACAAAAGTATTACAATTAAAAATGAATGATACAGTAAACTTGAACTGGAACCGTTGTTTGCGTCTTTTTTTTTTTTCCCTCTTTTTTTTTTTTTTTTTTTTAAGGTCCTGAGTGCTGGCCCTGGTGTTCAGTACATTGATTTGTTTCTTTCTTCTTCTGAAAAGAAAAAAGTGAAGGAAGAGAATCCCAACGCTCAATTAATTAGCTGGGCTCAAATGATATTATCCATTTGAAGCATTGGATTGGATGAAAGGTACACCGCAGACCCAATTGGGCTCACAAACGCTGAGGACATGTTTTTTTGTCCCATTTGGTTGATGAGATTGGTTGTGTTTGGGTAGTTACTCATTAAAAATGCTTTAAGAGTATGTTCAATCTGAGAGAGGGGAAGATAAAATTCTTTTATTTAGTTATAAAAAAATTAAAGTGAAAAAGAAAGAAGAGGTCATTTGTTTTATTTATTTTTAATTCATTTAGGTATCCGAACGAAGAGAGAAAAGAAAAAGGAAGGGGCATTAGAGGAAAATGAAAAACTACGATATCATTTTATTATCCACAATTCATCTTCTCTCTCCTCCATTTTTCTCAAAACAAATATACTTTAAGTGTGTTGGGTCAATTTTAACATTTGATAATCATAGTGAAATTAATTGTATAATTTTTAGTACTTTCTTTAAAATTGGAACTTCCTATTTTATGCAAAAACACTATTGTGGTGGTTTACATCTTTCTAAGGAAATAATTCAAAATTTTACGAAATACAAAGCAATGTGGGATTGTTAATTCCCTTTTCCACATAATAAGGAGCCATCATCTTTGAATTGCTTAAAGAATGTTAAGAAGAGTTTTGCCTCAATCATCATCATTCATCAGAACAGTATATCCATATAATTTAATAAACATAGAAATAAGCCACACATATAAATATGTTTCGTGAACCGACTAGACTATCATTTTTTTAAGTGTAGCTTTTATCTAAACAGGTCCTTTCTAGAAGTGTAATAACTTTTGGGACTAAATTTTAAAACGAAATAATTTCAGTAATTGATTATGTGGATTTATAAGAAACTCACATCATAATTAATAATCATCATAAATTCATCTTAAAAATTAATCCTAACTATCATTATTTTTTCCAACATGACTGAAAAAATTGGGTCATGGTTTGTTAATGTGAACCGCCTAGATCATCATTCTTGTTAGTGGGGGAGTTCTATCTAAACAGGCCTTTTCTAAATGACCGGAAAAAAATCAGGTCATGTTTTTTGTTTGCAAGCTCCCAAAGTAGGAACCCCACACACACATTACTTTCTTTCTCTGATCCTCACATGGCAGCGGGACATGCTTTCAGGTTTTGGACCATATTTCCCACTCTTCTTTGGATACCCCATTAATTCCTATTCCTATCTCCATCTCTTAATTTCACACCTCTCTCGTACGTATGATCACTTCAACTTGCATTTAGCAACTTGTGTCCACCCTTGAATGATTGATGAACCTCCATGAGTTCAACATGACAATATGAAATATCTACACATGTCCTCAACAATCAAAGTAAATTATTTGAAAATAACAATTTAAGTAATTTAGTAATAATATCATTTTAATAAAAGTAAAAAATTTTAAATTCAAATTACATGATATGCAAATGATATGAATTAAAGGATTAGAGAGAATTATCCTTTATCATATAATTTAAAAATAAATATAAAAATATATAAACTCTTTGAGAGTATTAATGATTGGTTAACAACGTTAATGGTAATAATATGAATGGCATCACGGAAAATATAATACTTAGATAAATGGAAATTGATTATACCAAATTGCAAAGAAATGATAATATTAATTAAGGGGATTGGTGTATGTTTATATATTCTAATTAAAACTCAACATCAGGTTTCTGATACATACGGATAATTAACTTTGATCATCATCATGCATTATACTTATTAATTTGTGGCATAGAAGCGTGGTTAGATGGATAAATATAGATGAGGGGATAATGCCTGCACGACAGCATGAGCTTTTTCTTGGGTTGTTGGACATTTGGAGCAATAATTGGCTTAAATCAATATGACGAGATCCAAAGCCTAAAGCAGTACCCCCTTACTGGACAAGATTTAATGGTTTTGCAATTTGATACCATTTTGAATTAAATATTGCATTAAAAAGACGGTTTGATCTAACTATTTAAATAATTTAGTAATAGTATTTTTTTAATAAAAATAAAAAATATTAATTTTAAATCATATAACATATAAATAAAATAAATTAAAATATGAAAAATGATTATTTTGTATTGTATATCCTTAATTAAAAATAAAAAAGAAAAAAAAGGGTTTAGTTAGTTGTTACATTTTTTTTAGAGTGAAGTACACGCTACTACAAACATGTAAATAAATCCACGTTATTATACGTCTTAATTTATTTAGACGAAGCTCATTTCTTTTCATCTATAGCTTTTATCTTCATCTACAACGTGAAATGAAAGAAAATATATAGATAAAATTATAAAATTTTTTATTTAAATTTGAAAATTTTATTATTTTCATTTACAAATTTATTAAATAACAAAGATAACATAACAATTGATAATTTTAATTAAAATAAAAAAATTCATATTTTTAAATAAAAAATAACAATATTATATA